GTGGGAGGGGTGCGGAGTCCTGTTTACAACCCAAAGACAATGGAGCCTGGGAAGCCCACGGGAGGGTTCTTGATGCTACACATGTCCCAGACACATGACCTACCAGGTGTACTTAGTTAATAACTTGGAGTTTTCCCAATAGATGGAGTCACACACGTGTTGATAAATATGGGATGGGATATGTATGCTATTTGGGTACATTACTCCTTCAGATGACCCCGTGTTCCGATCAATGGCACATGCACTGTCCGAGCGGCACTTCAACACGGACGCAGAAGTGGGAAATGGGGTCTCTGAATGGTCTGCCTCAAACAAGGACAGTTCTATTGGGATGGTATCCATCTATGACCTGAGAGATGAGGAAATGTGTGGCTAGCGGTGGACATTACTTTGAGTAAAGCACTCTTGATGTTTCCCTTGAAATTATCGAGTTTTCTTTACAAAATCTGAATTTTTAATGAGTTAACAGCTAATCCACATTTTTAACGGGTCCCCACCGTGAGCCAGCTTCTAGGACTAGAATCTCCCGGGTTCTCGGGCCTCATTCATGGTTCCCAAGAAGACGAATCAGTTCAGAGTCATGCACACGGCTTATTCCTAGAATCATATTCTTGACTTTATGTATTATTATTATTTTTAATATTTTTATTGATTTCAGAGAGGAAGGGAGAAGGACAGAGAGAAACACCAATGATGAGAGAGAATCATGGATGCCTCCTGCATGCCCCACACTAGGGATAGAGCCCGCAACTGGGGCCTGTGTCCTGACCGGGAATCGAACCTTCCCCTCCTGGTTCATAGGTTGGCCCTCAACCGCTGAGCCATGCCGGCCGGGCCATATTCTTGATCTTAAACTAGTGGCCCCATCCACCGCCCATGGCTACTATGACATTCGTGTTTGTGGAGGGGTCAGTGGTGGGCTGGCCTCCGAGGGGTTGAAAGGGAGCAGAGCTGGCCACTAATTCCACCGGCCTTGACCACACCTGGGTCCCAGATGGGAGAGGTGGTCCCAGGGAAATAATCCAGGTGAGTGGCCCGGGTCCAGGAATCAAGGGTTCTGTAGTGAGTGGTGCAGTGAGGGGCCAAGGGTCAGTGATGAGACAGGGGCAGAGGGAAGGGGACCTAAAGGAGGAGGAACGCTCTAGACTGGGAGGATGGAGAATTTCCAGAAGGGGTAGGGAGCCACGGAAGGCATGTGACTGAGGATTCTGGGGGAAGGGAGATCAGGCATTATCCTGGTTTCCATGGGGACCAAGGAGAGTGGGCCTTGGGGTGGACAGGGTCCACAGGTAAAAAGCAATTTTAGGGAAGGTGTGAGAAGTGCCCTCTCCTGGGTTCTGCAGCCCCTATACCTTGTTCTAGAACATTCTCTGGGCAATTCTGAGTGAGAGGGAAACCCCTTCAGGGAAACGTAGACTCTTTCCCTGCATGCATCCTTTCCCACAGGGTCAAAAGGATCGTTTTCACCTTTGAGGATAGCTGAGTTCAAGACCAAAGTCCAGAAACAAAAAATGACCAAGAAAGCATGCATCTGATTGACAATGAGAATATTTTATTGAGAGCTGATGAGGTGCAGGGAGAAGAGAGAATGGGTTTTGGGGCAGGGAGACCCTCTGGGGGTCCCGGAGGGTGAGAGGACTCAGGTCCTAGGAACACTCTGAGGGGACCACTGTCTTCTTCACGGTGTTCCCTTCGTGTGTGACCTCGCAGCTGTAGGCGCTGGCAGACTTCCAGTCTTGGCTGGACACACTCAGGTAGCTGCTGGCCGCGTACTTGTTGTTGCTCTGCTTGGAGGGCTTGGTGGTCTCCACGCCCTGGGTGACGGGGGTGCCATTTGCCTTCCAGGCCACCGTCACGCTGCCCGGGTAGAAGTCGCTCATGAGACACACCAGGGTGGCCTTGTTGTTGTTGAGCTCCTCAGTGGAGGGCGGGAACAGAGACACCGAGGGTGCTGACTTGGGCTGACCTGTGGGTGTGGGAGGGGCAGGAGGACAGAGGCTAAGGGTTCGTCCTGAAAGCGCCTGACCCGGGTCTTCCTGTGAGGACAGTGTCCTGAGGACCATCTCTGGGTGTGAGTGGCCATGCCATGCAGCGCAGTTTGGGGTGTTCCTAGCTTAACTCCCCATTTTGCAGAGAAACCTTGAGCCTGGACACCTGCCATCACTGTCCTTGTGGGCCCTGATCTGCCCCCCCACACATGAGACTGTCACCTTCTGGCTCTGTCTTCTCCTGGTATCTGACTGGGCCTGTCTGTGTCTGTCAGTCTGTTTGTCCCACAGAAGATGCTCTGAGCCCTTGATCTCCTGCTGAGTCCAAGTGTGGACACCTCTGATCTGACCTTTGTGCTGGGGCTTTGGAGCATTGACCCAACGGCTCAATTTTTCACCCCCAAATCCATCTCTCCCGTATCTTCTCTAACACTGAACACTTTTGCTTAAGAATCAGAAGTCTGTCTGTCCTTGGGTCTCTCTCAGCTACAGTCAATGGCACCCCTGCTAATTGCTCAATCACTAGAGCTCTCAGGCCATAGATTCTGCATTTCCCTGAGCAAGTCTGTTTGTCCCACAGAGACCCAAAGACCACCTTGTCCTCATACCTGTCATTCCATGATCCTTCCTCCTGCAACCCCCGCCCCCCGACCCTCGTGTCCTTCCTTCTGCAGGTTCCCTGGTGCGAGTCTGGTCAGGACTCTGCATGGCAGCTCTATGTAGACCCCAGGGAGCCCTGCACCTCAGCACCATTCCTGGCCTTTGTTCACAAGCCTACAGTCCCAGAGACCTTCTGACCTAGGAGTTTCTAGTCTTGGTCACCCGTCAATGTCCACGTGATTAACCCCTCAGGCCTGCTTATCCTGCAACCATTGACCCCCAAAACGAAATCTGGTGCAATAGAAGCCCCTCAGAGGTGGACAGAACAGAGCCCGTCTAGAATCCAGCATGGTCCTGGCAAACAGATAGGAGAAAGCACAGGGCATCCTGTCCACTCCTATCCGCTGATGGTGACCTTGGAGCCAGAGAGGACAGTAAGAATGGGGATGGGAAGAGCTCAGGGTCCCAAGGGCTGGATCCTGGTTGAGAGCTTGGACACAGGCTGAGACAAGACCCCCTCCAAAAGAGCAAAATTAGCAGAAAATTGCCCCCACTGCTCAGGGTACAGGGAAGGAGGGGGAAGGAGAGACTCACCTAGGACGGTCAGCTGGGTCCCGCCGCCGAACACAATACACTGTGACACAGGCTCATACAAAAACCTCTCTCTGGGAGGCCCTGCCCACCCCCCAGCCCGCTCTCTCGCCCCCCCCCCCCACAGCTGTGCTGGAGGAAGCCTGGGCCATTGCCCCAGGGTGGTGTCTGATCTTCAAGGGGCACATCACTGCCCCCCACTCCCCTACCCCATCCACCAAGCACCAGGCCACAGGATAGATGACAGTGCATTGCATGGCGGTAGCATGGTTGGAAGCCATTGTCCCTAAGAACTCGGTGTCTGATAGCTGTTTTCACTGAGGTCTCCTCGAATTCCCGATGAGTTTGGAGGGCATTCATTTCGCTGTGAGGGAGATTCCCTGGGAACGGGTGGCACATTTCTCTTAGGTCCAAACACCCCTAATCCCAGGAAGAGAGCACAATGGAGGGCGGCCTGTATTCCGATGGAAGGGCAGGCTGGGCTGTGTACACATTCTACTCCCAACCTATGTCCCCAACCATCTGATCATGACCTCTGGCTTATGGTCCCGAGGGGCAGCCTAGATTGGGACAGCACTGGGGATGCCAGGATGGGACTGTAGTCTTTGCCAACCTGTCCTTTAGGGTGAGCTTGGGGGTGTCCAGCCTTTGCTCAAAAGCTGGAGTGGTGCAGGGTGCTGTGTCATGGGAGAGGCATGACCTTGCTGTAACCCACAGGCCACACACACCCTGCTCTGAGCTGGTCTCACCTGCCTTTACTCAGCTCCTGATATCCAATGGCTATGCCCTCCGTGGCTCGTCACTGGATGCCCATTCTGTACCCAGGGCGGTGCCCTTTCTAGTCCTTCAAAATCAGATCCTGTGTCACCTCCACCTGAGGCCTGACAGCACTCGCTCCATCCTTAAACCACCCCCCAAAAATCTCATTTTGATGTGACTTAAGGGTGTGAAATCTTCATGATGGAGGTCGCTGGCCCAAGTGGGGGCCACCTTGAGCCTGACCATGACCCAAGACGATGTGGACATAAACTGAGCTTCCCTGTGCCTCATTCTCACTCCATGTTTCCAGCACCATGAGTCCCAGGCTCCCTGAATGGGTAGGAGGAATGAACGTGATGGCAGAATGTTAGGCTCCATAATAGGTAACTGTATCTCTGCTGCAGGACTAGTCAGTGTCTGTCCATAGCTAACATGCATTGGCAGAGTTTGACAAAGGCACCATGGGAGGCACTGATCAACGCTTTCCATGACTCTGGGCCAACCAAGAAATATGCCCAGCTGGCAATGGCTCTCCCATGGGGCTCCATGATAGACAGGGAAGTTCAATGTCTGTTCCCAAAGATCACAGCCTTCTTCCATGATTTACTTCCCAATATCTACATCTATAGCCCACCTTCTGGGACCCTCTTAAGTTTTCCTAGATTGCCCCTCAGGGTAATCACATCTTTGTACTCAGCACTTGTCCTAATCCAGGTGACCAGGACTGCTTCCCAAGGGAAGTTCCCACTGGCACTCAGAGCTGACTCATGTTTATGGTGGGTGAGGTGAGTGGACCTCAGGTAGATCCATGTCATGTCATTCCCGTCCTGCCCTTATTTACTGACCCTTCAACCTAGAGACCCATGCAGACCACAGAACACACATGAGACATGACAGATGATAAATGACCAGGAGTTTATTGAGGAGAAGTGGACACGGGGAGGGATCGAGGCCTGCCCAGTCTGAGCGGACCAGTCTGAGCAGGAGACTCAGGGGTTCAGTGGAGAGCGGGGGAAGGGAGAGTCTGATGAGGAAGTGTCCCCAGAAGTGGAGACTCAGGTCCTAGGAACACTCTGAGGGGACCACTGTCTTCTTCACGGTGTTCTCTTCGTGTGTGACCTCGCAGCTGTAAGCGCTGGCAGACTTCCAGTCTTGGCTGGACACGCTCAGGTAGCTGCTGGCCGCATACTTGTTGTTGCTCTGCTTGGAAGGCTTGGTGGTCTCCACGCCCTGGGTGATGGGGGTGCCATTTGCCTTCCAGGCCACCGTCACGCTGCCCGGGTAGAAGTCGCTCATGAGACACACCAGGGTGGCCTTGTTGTTGCTGAGCTCCTCAGTGGAGGGCGGGAACAGAGACACCGAGGGTGCCGACTTGGGCTGACCTGTGGGTGCGGGAGGGGCAGGAGGGCAGAAGCTCAGGGTCCGTCCTGAAAGCGCCTGACCTGGGTCTTCCTGTGGCGACAATGTCCTGAGGACCATCAGGACCCCAAGGGCAGGGGCCTCTCTGGATGTGAGAGTCCATGCCATGCAGGGCAGTTTGGGGTGCTCCTAGCTCAACTCCTCATTTTCCTGAAAAACCCTGAGCATGGACACCTGCCATCACTGTCCTTGTGGGCCCTGAACTGCTGCCCACACATGTGACTGTCACCGTCTGGCTCTGCCTTCTTCTGGTATCTGACTGGACCTGTCTGTGTCTCTCAGTCTGCTTGTCCCACAGAAGATGCTCTGAGCTCTTGACCTCCTGCTGAGTCCAAGTGTAGACTCCTCTGACCTCACCCTTTATGCTGGGGTTTTGGAGCATCGGCCCAAGGGTTCAGTTTTTCACCTCCAAATCCATCTCTTCTGTAACTTCTCTAACACTGCACACTTTTTGCTTAACAATCAGAATTCTGTCTGTCTGTCCTTGGCTCTTTCTTGTCCACAGTCAATGGCTCCCCCGCTAATTGCTCAATCACTAGAGCTCTCAGGCCATAGATTCTGCATTTCCCTGAGCAAGTCTCTTTGTCCCAAAGAGACCCAAAGGCCACCTTGTCCTCATACTTGTCATTCCATGACCCTTCCTTCTGCACCTTCTACCCTCTGTTTTTTTCCTCCTGCAGGTTTCCTGTTGCGAGGCTGGTCAGACTCTGCACGGGCGCCTGGGAGCCCCACAACCCAGCACCATTCCTGGCCCTTGGTCATGAGCCCATAGTACCTGAGACCTGCCCTGAACCTCTGACCTCTGCGACTTTAGCCTTGGCCCTGAGCGATCTGGTTCATTCTAAGCTTTTCACCTGGTTCCCCTTCAAGGCTTCTCTTCCTCTCTTTCCCTTACAACGGGGCCAACAGTGACTTGCAGACATTAATCTTGTCCCACAGGAGCCCCCAGGGGAGGACAGAACAGAGCCCAACAGGAACCCAGCAGGACCCTCCCAGACAGATGGAAGAATCCACACACAGGGCACCCTGCGCACCCCTCTGTCTCTGGGTCAGAGGTGAAGGGTTGAGGGTGACCGGGTAGGACAGTAAGAACAGGGATGGGAAGCGCTCAGGTCCCCAAGGACAGGGATACTGGTGGAAAGCTTGGCCACAGGCAGAGACAAGATGAGAAAAAGAGCAAAAAGAGCAGAAAGCAGCCCAAACTTTGCAGGGGAGCAGGGAAGGAGGGGGGAGAAGGCACTTACCTAGGACGGTCAGCTGGGTCCCTGCTCCGAACACATAACACTGTGACACAGACTCATACAAAAACCTCTCTCTGGGAGGCCCTGCCCACTCCTGAGCCCCCCTCCCGCCCCCCACAGCTGTGCTGGAGGAAGCCTGGGCCACTGCCCCAGGGTGGTGTCTGGTCTGCGAGGGGCACACACACTGTGCCCCCTTCAGACCCGCAGGTGACAGGATGCACCGCCCGGATAAAGCATTCTTGGGAGCAGTTCCCTCAAAGGCATTAGGTGTTTAACAGGCTGTTCCACTCTGTCCGCTGGGATTTGAGAAGCGTGTGGCGGGCATGTGTGTCACAGTGAGGAGGTTCCATGGGAACGGATGGTGCATCTCTCTTAGGTCCAAACACCCCTAACCCCTGGGTGAGAGCATGAGGGGAGGGCAGTGCGTATTCCCTCGGTTGGTCTGTATAGAAATCTACTGGCAACCTCCCATGTCCCCAACCATCTGATCATGAGCTCTGGCTTATGGTCACGAGGGACACCCTGGATTGGGATAGACCTGGGGATGTGCGGGTGGGACTGTAGTCTTTGCCAACGTGGCCTTTAGAGTGACCTTGGGGGTGAACCCTGACATCCTTTCGGTGGGGGGAGTGGTATGGGGTGCTATGTCACAGGGGAGGCCTGACCTTGCTGTAACCCACAGGCCACACTCCCCTGCTCTGAGCTGGTCTCACCTGCCCTTACTCGGCTCCTGAATTCCAGTGGATACACCCTCCCTGGGACGTCACTGGATGCCCATTCTGTGCCCAGGACGGTGCCCTTTCTAATCCATCAAGGCCAACTCCCGTGAAGCCATCCAACTGAGGCCTGACATCACCTGCTCCATCCTTTAACCAGCCCTGAGACTCTCAGGTTGGTCTGACTTCAGGGTGTGAGACCTTCATGATGGAGGTCCCAAGCCTAAGCTAGGGCTACCTTGAGCTCATCCTTGACCCAAGACAATGCAGACATAAACTGAGCTTCCCTGTGCCTCATCCTCAGCCCATGTTCCCAGCACCATGAGTCCCAGCTCCCTGAGCGGATAAGGGGTGTGGGTATGAAGGGGGAATGTCAGGCTCTGTGATATTAAACTGTTTCTCATTGGCAGGACCAGTCAGTGTCGGTGCTTAGCTAACAGGCATTGCCCAAGTGTGACCAATGGGCCATGGCAGGCACCGTGCAAAGGTTTTCGTGATTTTATGATGAGACACCAACCAAGAGCCCCTCGCCTGGTAATGGCTCTCCCTTGGGGCCCCATGATGGACAGGGAAGTTCATTGTCTGTTCCCAAAGACCACAACCTTCCTCCATGATTTCCTTCCCAATATTGCCATCTGTGGCTCATCCTTCGCTCCTGAGATCCTCTTGAGTTGTCCTTGATTGCCCCTCAGGGTAATCAAATCTTTGCCACTCAGCCCTTGTCCCATTCCAGGTGACCAGGACTGCCTCCCAGGGGAAGTTCCCACTGGCACTCAGAGCTGACTCAGGTCGCTGGTGGGTGAGGTGAGTGGACCTCAGGTAGATCCATGTCATGTCATTCCCATCCTGCCCGTTATTACTGACCCTTCAACTTAGAGACCCATGCAGACCACAGAACACACATGAGACATGACAGATGATAAATGACCAGGAGTTTATTGAGGAGAAGTGGACACGGGGAGGGATGGAGACCTGCCCAGTCTGAGCGGACCAGTCTGAGCAGGAGACTCAGGGGTTCAGTGGAGAGCGGGGGAAGGAAGAGTCTGACGGGGAAGTGTCCCCAGAAGTGGGAACTCAGGTCCTAGGAACACTCTGAGGGGACCACTGTCTTCTTCACGGTGTTCCCTTCGTGTGTGACCTCGCAGCTGTAGGCGCTGGCAGACTTCCAGTCTTGGCTGGACACACTCAGGTAGCTGCTGGCCGCGTACTTGTTGTTGCTCTGCTTGGAGGGCTTGGTGGTCTCCACGCCCTGGGTGACGGGGTTGCCATTTGCCTTCCACGCCACCGTCACGCTGCCCGGGTAGAAGTCGCTCATGAGACACACCAGGGTGGCCTTGTTGTTGCTGAGCTCCTCAGTGGAGGGTGGGAACAGAGACACCGAGGGTGCCGACTTGGGCTGACCTGTGGGTGCGGGAGGGGCAGGAGGGTAGAGACTCAGGATCCATCCTGAAAACGCCTGACCTGGGTCTTCCTGTGAGGACAGTGCCGTGAGGACCATCTCTGGTTGTGAGCGTCCATGCCATGCAGGGCAGTTTGGGGTGTTCCTAGGTCAACTCCCCATTGTCCTGAGAAACACTGAGCCTGGACACCTGCCATCACCCATCCTAAGGGCGCTGATCAGCCACCCACCCATCTGACTGTCATCATCTGGCTCTGCCTTCTCCTGGTATCTGACTGGGCCTGTCTGTGTCTGTCAGTCTGTTTGTCCCACAGAAGATGCTCTGAGTCCTTGACCTCCTTCTGAGTCCAAGTGTGGACACCTTTGATCTGACCCTTTGTGCTGGGGGCTTTGGAGCATTGACCCAAGGGCTCAGTTTTTCACCCCCAAATCCATCTCTCCCATATCTTCTCTAACACTGCACACGTTTTGCTTAAGAATCAGAAGTCCGTCTGTCTGTCCTTGGGTCTCTCTCAGCTACAGTCAATGGCACCTCCGCTAATTGCTCAATCACTAGAGCTCTCAGGCCATAGATTCTGCATTTCCCTGAGCAAGTCTGTTTGTCCCACAGAGACTCAAAGACCACCTTGTCCTCATACCTGTCATTCCATGACCCTTCCTCCTGCTCCTTCTACCCTATGTTTCCTTCGTCCTGCAGATTCCGTGGTGCAAGGCTGATCAGGACTCTGCATGGCAGCTCTATGCTGGCCCCGGGGAGTCCCGCACCCCAGCACCATTTCTGGACTTTGTTCAGGTTCCTACAGTCCCGGAGACCTTCTGACCTAGGAGTTTCTAGTCTTGGTCACCCATCAATGTCCACGTGGTTAACCCCTCAGGCCTGCTTATCCTCCTGTCCCCTTAGGATGTGGGCAACCATTGACCCCCAGAAAGGAATCTGGTACACTAGGAGCCCCTCAGAGGAGGACAGAACAAAGCCCGTCTAGAATTCAGCATGGTCCTGGCAAACAGATAGAAAAAAGCACAGGGCATTCTGTCCAATTCTCAGTCTCTGGGATCAGAGATGAACCGCTGATACTGACCTTGGAGCCAGAGAGGACAGTAAGAATGGGGATGGGAAGAGCTCAGGGTTCCAAGGGCTGGGATCCTGGTTGAGAGACAAGACCCACTCCAAAAGAGCAAAACTAGCAGAAAATTTCCCCCACTGCTCAGGGTACAGGGAAGGAGGGGGAAGGAGAGACTCACCTAGGACGGTCAGCTGGGTTCCTCCGCCGAACACCCAACACAGTGACACAGGCTCATACAAAAACCTCTCTCTGGGAGGCCCTGCCCACCCCTCAGCCCCCCCTCCTGTCCCCACAGCTGTGGTGGAGGAAGCCTGGGCCATTGCCCCAGGGTGGTGTCTGGTCTTCAAGGGGCACATCACTGCCCCCCACTCCCCCACCCCATCCACCAAGCACCAGGCCACAGGATAGATGACAGTGCATTGCATGGCGGTAGCATGGTTGGAAGCCATTGTCCCTAAGAACTTGGTGTCTCACAGGTTGTGTCCATTGAGATTCGGAATTCGGGATTCAGGTTCAGTTTGGAGGGCGTTCATTTCACTGTGAGGGAGGTTCCCTGGGAATGGTGGCACATCTCTCTTAGGTCTAAACACCCCTAATCCCAGGAAGAGAGCACGATGGAGGGCGGCCTGTATTCCCTCTCCCCTCCTTCTCCTTCCATGGAAGGGCAGGCTGGGCTGTGTACACATTCTACTCCCAACCTATGTCCTCAACCATCTGATCATGATCTCTGGCTTATGGTCCCGAGGGACAGCGTAGATTGGAATATCACTGGGGTTGTCCGGATGGGACTGTAGTCTTTTCTAACCGGTCCTTTAAGCTGACCTTGGGGGTGTCTCCAGCCTTAGCTCCCAGGCTGCAGTGGTGTGGGGTGCTGTGTCATGACCTTGCTGAGGCATGACCTTGCTGTAACCCACAGGTCACACACTCCCTGCTCTGAGCTGCTCTCGCCTGCCCTTCCTTGGCTGCTGATTTCCAATGGATATGCCCTCCCTGGGATGTCACTGGATGCCCATTGTGTGCCCAGGGCAGTGCCCTTTTTAGTCCATCAAAATCACATCCTGTGTCCCCTCCACCTGAGGCCTGACAGCACCTGCTCCATCTTTAAACCAACCCTGAAAATCTCATTTTGATGAGACTGACCCTGACCCAAGATGATGTGGACATAAACTGAGCTTCCCTGTGCCTCATCCTAACCCATGTTTCTAGCACCATGAGTCCCAGGCTCCCTAAGTGGGTAGGAGGAATGAACATGATGGCGGAATGTTAGGCTCCATGATAGGAAACTGCTTCTCTGCTGCAGGAGCAGTCAGTGTCTTTCCTTAGCTAAGGTGCATTGGCAGAGTTTGACAAAGGCACCATGGGAGGCACTGATCAACGCTTTCCATGACTCCATGCCGATGGGCCAGCCAAGAAATATTCCCAGCTGATAATGGTTCTCCCATGGGTTCGATGATGGACAAGGTAGTTCAATGTATGTTCCCAACGACCACAGCCTTCCTCCATGATTTTCTTCCCAATATCTACATTTATAGCCCACCTTGAGCTTCTGGGACCCTCTTCAGTTTTCCTTGATTGAGCTTCAGGGTAATCACATATTTGTACTCAGACCTTCTCCCATTCCAGGTGACAAGGACTGCCTCCTAGGGTCCAGCCCCCCAGGAGAAGTTGCCACGGGCACTCAGAGCTGACTCAGGTCCCTGGTGGGTGAGGCGAGTGGACCTCAGGTAGACCTACATCATGTCATTCCGTCCTGCCCGTTATTACTAACCCTTCAACCTAGAGACCCATGCAGACCACAGAACACACATGAGACATGACAGATGATAAATGACCAGGAGTTTATTGAAGAGAAGTGGACACGGGGAGGGATGGAGACCTGCCCAGTCTGAGCGAACTAGGGCAGGAGCCTCAGGGGTTCAGTGGAGAGAGGGGGAAGGGAGAGTCTGATGGGGAAGTCTCCCCAGAAGTGGGGACTCAGGTCCTAGGAACACTCTGAGGGGACCACTGTCTTCTTCACGGTGTTCCCTTCGTGTGTGACCTCGCAGCTGTAGGCGCTGGCAGACTTCCAGTCTTGGCTGGACACGCTCAGGTAGCTGCTGGCCGCGTACTTGTTGTTGCTCTGCTTGGAGGGCTTGGTGGTCTCCACGCCCTGGGTGACGGGGTTGCCATTTGCCTTCCAGGCCACCGTCACGCTGCCCGGGTAGAAGTCGCTCATGAGACACACCAGGGTGGCCTTGTTGTTGCTGAGCTCCTCAGTGGAGGGCGGGAACAGAGACACCGAGGGTGCCGACTTGGGCTGACCTGTGGGTGTGGGAGGGGCAGGAGCGCAGAGGCTCAGGGTCCGTCCTGAAAGCGCCTGACCCGGGTCTTCCTGTGGGGACAGTGTCCTGAGGACCATCAGGACCCCAAGGGCAGGGGCCTCTCTGGGTGTGAGAGTCCATGCCATGTAGCGCAGTTTGGGGTGTCCTAGGTCAACTCCCCATTTTGCAGAGAAACCCTGAGCCTGGACACCTGCCATCACTGTCCTTGTGGGCCCTGAACTGCTGCCCACACATGTGACTGTCACCGTCTGGCTCTGCCTTCTTCTGGTATCTGACTGGGCCTGTCTGTGTCTGTCAGTCTGTTTGTCCCACAGAAGATGCTCTGAGCCCTTGACCTCCTGCTGAGTCTAAGTGTGGACACCTCTTACCTCATCTTTTATGTTGGGGGCTTTTTAAAATTGACTTAAGGTTCAGTTTTCCCCCCAAATCCATCTCTCCCGTATCTTCTCTAACACTGCACACTTTTTGCTTAAGAATCAGAAGTCTGTCTGTCTGTCCTTGGGTCTCTCAGCTACAGTCAATGGCTTCCCCACTAATTGCTCAATCACTAGAGCTCTCACGCCCTAGATTCTGCATTTCCCACAGAGACCCAAAGGCCACCTTGTTCTCATACTTGTCATTCCATGACACTTCCTTCTGCACCTTCTACCCTCTGTTTCCTTCCTCTTGCAGGTTCCCTGGTGCGAGGCTGGTCAGACTCTGCATGACAGCTCTATGCAGGCCCCTGGGAGCCCCGCACCCAAGCACCATTCCTGGCTTTTGGTCATGAGCCCATTGTCTGGAGACCTTCCCTCAGTCCCTGATCTCTGGCCTTGGCCCTGAGCGATCTGGCTCATTCTAAGCTTTTCACCCGGTCCCCCCTCAGGACTTCTCTTCCTCTCTTCCCCTTACAACGGGGCCAACAGTGACTTGCAGACATCAATCTTGTCCCACAGGAGCCCCCCAGGGGAGGACAGAACAGAGCCCAACAGGAACCCAGCAGGACCCTCCCAGACAGATGGAAGAATCCACACACAGGGTACCCTGCGCACCCCTCTGTCTCTGGGTCAGAGGTGAAGGGTTGAGGGTGACCGGGTAGGACAGTAAGAACAGGGATGGGAAGCGCTCAGGTCCCCAAGGACAGGGATACTGGTGGAAAGCTTGGCCACAGGCAGAGACAAGATGAGAAAAAGAGCAAAAAGAGCAGAAAGCAGCCCAAACTTTGCAGGGGAGCAGGGAAGGAGGGGGGAGAAGGCACTTACCTAGGACGGTCAGCTGGGTCCCTGCTCCGAACACATAACACTGTGACACAGACTCATACAAAAACCTCTCTCTGGGAGGCCCTGCCCACTCCTGAGCCCCCCTCCCGCCCCCCACAGCTGTGCTGGAGGAAGCCTGGGCCACTGCCCCAGGGTGGTGTCTGGTCTGCGAGGGGCACACACACTGTGCCCCCTTCAGACCCGCAGGTGACAGGATGCACCGCCCGGATAAAGCATTCTTGGGAGCAGTTCCCTCAAAGGCATTAGGTGTTTAACAGGCTGTTCCACTCTGTCCGCTGGGATTTGAGAAGCGTGTGGCGGGCATGTGTGTCACAGCAAGGAGGTTCCATGGGAACGGGTGGTGCATCTCTCTTAGGTCCAAACACCCCTAACCCCTGGGTGAGAGCATGAGGGGAGGGCAGTGCATATTCCCTCGGTTGGTCTGTGTAGAAATCTACTGGCAACCTCCCATGTCCCCAACCATCTGATCATGAGCTCTGGCTTATGGTCACGAGGGACACCCTGGATTGGGATAGACCTGGGGATGTGCGGGTGGGACTGTAGTCTTTGCCAACGTGGCCTTTAGAGTGACCTTGGGGGTGAACCCTGACATCCTTTCGGTGGGGGGAGTGGTATGGGGTGCTGTGTCACAGGGGAGGCCTGACCTTGCTGTAACCCACAGGCCACACTCCCCTGCTCTGAGCTGGTCTCACCTGCCCTTACTCGGCTCCTGAATTCCAGTGGATACACCCTCCCTGGGACGTCACTGGATGCCCATTCTGTGCCCAGGACGGTGCCCTTTCTAATCCATCAAGGCCAACTCCCATGTCTACTCCACTAGAGGCCGGACATCACCTGCTCCATCCTTCAACCAGCCCTGAGACTCTCAGGTTGGTCTGACTTCAGGGTGTGAGACCTTCATGATGGAGGTTCCAGGCCTAAGTGAGGGCCAACTTGAGCCTCACCCTGACCCAAGATAATGCAGACATAAACTGAGCTCCCCTGTGCCTCATCCTCAGCCCATTTTCCCAGCACCATGAGTCCCAGCTCCCTGAGCGAATAAGGGGTGTGGGTGTGAAGGGGGAATGTCAAACTCTGTGATATTAAACTGTTTCTCATTGGCAGGACCAGTCAGTGTCGGTGCTTAGCTAACAGGCATTGCCCAAGTGTGACCAATGGGCCATGGCAGGCACCATGCAAAGGTTTTCGTGATTTTATGATGAGACACCAACCAAGAGCCCCTCACCTGGTAATGGCTCTCCCTTGGGGCCCCATGATGGACAGGGAAGTTCATTGTCTGTTCCCAAAGACCACAACCTTCCTCCATGATTTCCTTCCCAATATTGCCATCTGTGGCTCATCCTTCGCTCCTGAGATCCTCTTGAGTTGTCCTTGATTGCCCCTCAGGGTAATCAAATCTTTGCCACTCAGCCCTTGTCCCATTCCAGGTGACCAGGACTGCCTCCCAGGGGAAGTTCCCACTGGCACTCAGAGCTGACTCAGGTCCCTGGTAGGTGAGGCGAGTGGACCTCAGGTAGATCCATATCATGTCATTCCCGTCCTGCCCTTATTTACTGACCATTCAACCTAGAGACCCATGCAGACCACAGAACACACATGAGACATGACAGATGATAAATGACCAGGAGTTTATTGAGGAGAAGTGGACACGGGGAGGAATGGAGACCTGCCCAGTCTGAGCGGACCAGGGCAGGAGCCTCAGGGTTTCAGTGGAGAGAGGGGGAAGGGAGAGTCTGATGGGGAAGTGTCCCCAGAAGTGGGGACTCAGGTTCTAGGCACACTCTGAGGGGACCACTGTCTTCTTCACGGTGTTCCCTTCATGTGTGACCTCGCAGCTGTAGGCGCTGGCAGACTTCCAGTCTTGGCTGGACACACTCAGGTAGCTGCTGGCCGCGTACTTGTTGTTGCTCTGCTTGGAGGGCTTGGTGGTCTCCACGCCCTGGGTGATGGGGTTGCCATTTGCCTTCCAGGCCACCGTCACGCTGCCCGGGTAGAAGTCGCTCATGAGACACACCAGGGTGGCCTTGTTGTTGTTGAGCTCCTCAGTGGAGGGCGGGAACAGAGACACCGAGGGTGTCGACTTGGGCTGACCTGTGGGTGCGGGAGGGGCAGGAGCGCAGAGGCTCAGGGTCCGTCCTGAAAGCGCCTGACCTGGGTCTTCATGTGGGGACAGTGTCCTGAGGACCATCAGGACCCAGAGGGCAGGGGCCTCTCTGGGTGTGAGAGTCCATGTCATGCAGGGCAGTTTGTGGTGCTCCCAGCTCAACTCCCCATTTTGCAGAGAAACCCTGAGCCTGGACACCTGCCATCACCCGTCCTGCCATCAGTCCCTCTGCCACCCACACATCTGCTACCCACACCATCTGGCTCTGCCTTCTCCTGGTATCTGACTGGGCCTGTGTGTGTCTGTCAGTCTGTTTGTCCCACCGAAGATGCTCTGAGCCCTTGACCTCCTGCTGAGTCCAAGTTTAGACTGCACTGACCTGATCCTTTGTGCTGGGGTTTTGGAGCATTGACCCAAGGGCTCAGTTTCTCACGCCCAAATCCATCTCTCCCATAACTTCTCTAACACTGCACACTTTTTGCTTAAGAATCAGAAGTCTGTGTGTCTATCCTTGGGTCTCTCTCAGCTACAGTCAATGGCACCCTCGCTAATTGCTCAATCACTAGAGCTCTCAGGCCATAGATTCTGCATTTCCCTGAGCAAGTCTGTTTGTCCCACAGAGACCCAAAGACCACCTTGTCCTCATACCTGTCATTCCATGACTCTTCCTCCTACACCTCCTCCTCCCGCTGTGTCCTTCCTCCTGCAGGTTCTCTGGTGCAAGGTTGGTCAGGACTCTGCATGGCAGCTCTATGCTGGCCCCTGGCTGCCCTGCTCCCCAGCACCATTTCTGGCCCATGTTCATGAGCCCACTGTCCCTGAGACCTGCCCTGAACCTCTGACCTGTTCGTCTCTAGCCTTGGCCCAGAGGGTACTGGGTCACCCTAAAATTTGCACGAATTGACTCCCTCAGGGATCCTTATCCTTTCTTCCCCTTAAGACAGAGCTACTATGGATCCCCAGAAATAATCTCGTGCCATAGGAACCCAGCAGGGGAAGAGAGAACAATCCCGTTTAGAATCCAGCATGACCCTGGCAGACAGATAGAAGAGTCTACAGGGAATCCTTTCCATTTCTCTGTCTCCGGGGACAGAGAGAAAGGGTCACTAGAGTCTAGTGGTTGCGAAGAGGACAGTAAGAAGGCTGAAAGGAAGAGTTCACTGTCCCACAAGCCCAGGATCCTGGGTGACAACTTGGCCACAAGCTGAGAGAACCCCAGAAAAATAGCAAAACCCGCAGAAAATGGCCCAAACTGCTGGGGGAGGAGGGGAGGAGAGGGAAGGAGAGACTCACCTAGGACGGTCAGCTGGGTCCCGCCGCCGAACACAGCACACTGTGACACAGGCTCATACAAAAACCTCTCTCTGGGAGGCCCTGCCCCACCCCTGTGCCCCCACCTGCAGCTGTGCTGGAGGAAGCCTGGCACACTGCCCCAGGGTAGTGTCTGGCCTGCAAGGGTCCCACACATTGCCCCCCCTGACTCAGCAGAGTAGAGGACACAGGGTAGAGGACACAGGATATAGCACAGAAGCAGGATTGTTGGAAGCAAGTCTCCTAAAGGGATAGGGTGTCTGATGGCACTTTACCGCTATGATCTCATGGATGTGGGATGACTTTGGAGCCTGTTTTATTATTATTATTATTATTATTATTATTGTTATTGTCTCTGGGAGTGAGGACTCCTGGGAATGGATGGTGCATCTCTCTTACGTCCAAAATCCCTAATCCCTTGGAGAGAGCACGAGTGGAGGGCAGCCTGTATTCCCTCCGTCCCTCCCCTTCCACGAAAGGCAGGTTGACCTGTGTACAGAGTATTGCCCACTTCCCATGTCCC